AAAAATAGAAGAAAAATAATTCGCGAAAAGTATCTTACAAACTATATTCTCCGTGTTCTTATCTTTCCAAACGAATAAAGCGTACTTGTTCCTGCTTTTTTTTTTTTTTTTTTTTTTTTTTTTTTATTTATTTCATTCTGACGAGCGAAAAAAAAAGACAATTCGCATAAATCGGGACATCTCGCAATATACATATATCGAACGTTGAAGCGAAAACGGAGTGTGCAGTGCTCGTAATCCATTTTTTTATTATTATAACTATTATTATTTTCATCATCTCTGCGTTGCTGTACGATCAGGTTGTCTTTCCATTTGTTTATAATAATTATATCGTTTCCTCCCCTCTCCTTTTCTTTTTCCAGTTAATCCGTGTCAACTTGTATATATAAAATAAGACTCTATGATACATCTTGGTCACTTCACGATGAAAAGTAACATTTTTTTTTTTTTTTTTACCTCGCTTTATTACTTCAAATAATTCGTTTCCAGTTTGTCGACGAATTCAAACATTCGCTAGTAAAATGCCCTTTATTATTTCAGCCTAGTTACAGGTGACTATGATTACTCGTGACAACTAGTTACAGTTCTGTACTCGTTACATATTCGCGTCCTTTTTTTTTTCATTTTAAAGAGCTGTACAGTCAATCGAAATAGTCGTATAGCGCGTCCTTGACTTTTTCATCCGATTAAAATTTACTCAGTACATCCTACATTTCTTTTTCGGAGCTATCTTACGATTTAATTAAAAACAAAAAGAAAAACAAAAAAAAAAAAAGAACACCGACCATTTGATTAAATTACGCTTTCTTTGTTTCCTTTCGAACATACGAAACATACACGTTTGTAAAGAAAATACATTCGGATCTAACCGCGTTAGCGTTTCTTTTTTTTTTTTCTTTCTTTCTCAGCCTAGAGCTTCAGCCACGGCACCCTTTTTTCCTTTGTTTTTTTGTTTTTTTTTTCTTTTTTTTCTTTTTTTCGTTCGCTTTCAATCATTTAATTTCATTCTTTCTTCCTGTTTACTTAAATATAAAAATACATAGCCAGTCTATACATAGAGCGTGCAAAGTGGCACAGTGAACTGAGTTACCAGATATCCTGGATAGTTAACTACCGCTCTCGGCATTCGACGGTGGTTCCATGTCGTCGTGACTTTTGCTCGTGTTACTCGACACGGGGAGACCTGAGGTTTTTGGCAGCGGGTTAGTTATTACACTATCACTATGAGATGTTGATGCAGCATTGTACACAGAGTTGTCAAAGTGTTGCAAGCATTCCGGACCAGGCAGCAGTAATGTAGTTTGCGTCGGAAGATTCGTTAACGATAGCATCCCTGGTTTCATCATTTGCTTGTTAAAACAACTCCTTAATGCCTCTTCGATTAAATTTGCTATTTTATCACGGTCGTTCTGTAACAAACAAACAACGTGCTTGAATAAAAGTTGTTGGAAACTAATGATCCTTCTCCTCCTCTTTTGTTTTTTAAACGCAAGCAATACCTCGTTAATAAATCCAAAATGTACAAGCTCCTGCGCGAGAAGCATCGAAGTATCTAACTGAGTCACAGGACACGTCAATTGCCTATTCATCTTGTCGTCCATTCGCAATAATATTGTCATCTGTAAAGCATACACCAGCGTGTGAAAAGAAGAAACGAAATACAAAGGTTAGACTTTTAGATTTTAACGTAACTCGTTACTCACAAGTAATTCACAACTTTCTTCTCTAGGTTTAACGTTACACATCATATTAACTACTCTTCGAGATTCCACGTCCACCGGTTCCGGTGTGACGGATTTCACCGATTCGGTGACTTCTGGCGATATCGCCCGAGGTCGTACAGGTGGTGGTAATTTCGCCATAAACGCTGTCAACGGGTATATACCATATCTGCCGGTCCAAACGTTTATTGTGATTAGTGTGATTGAAGGAGAAGATATGCTTGACGTTGCAAGAAACACAGCCAATTACCGACATATGTCTCGTATACTCACTTTACATCCTCCACGAACTTCTCCAACTTCTCTGTAACCGGAATATCGCTCAGTCGAATTTGCTGCGGTGGCCGACCTTGATATTTAATTTCCGCCACTACCGTATCAGGTCCGTAGAGCCTTTGCAGAACTTCGTCCGTTATCGTCTCTGAAATGTTGGCTGAAACGAAGAAAAAATGTTAACTAACCGTCTGTCACTTTACAATTCTTACAAGTCTGTCGCTTTTTTTTTTTTTATGGAAAAGCCAAATACCTATATTTAGAACATTTAGACAAATTGTCTCGTGACACGAGACAATGACAGAGATTAGATAACGACGATATTATTAGACTTACTGGCCGAGTTGACCAGAGCGTGAGCGGCGAGCAGTTTCAACGAATGCACTTCGAACAACACAGGGTGAAAGAGGAGCTCCCTGGCGCTTGGTCTACTGAGCGGGTCCACCTGGAGACACTTTCGAATGAAATCTTTCTGTTGGACGTCGTCCAACGACTCTATGGTTTTCCGGACGTTGTCGTCGGTGACGATCGTGCCTGTGTCACCGTTACCCTGAATTTCCAGCGCAGCCATCTCCAGAGCGCACATCCCAAACGAGTAAATGTCAATAGCAGGAGTGACAGAGTCTGAAAAACGCAACAGACAGTCGCATTATTAACTTGTAACAACGGAACATCATGTGGTGATACTTACTTCCATATTCAGGCGCAACAAAGTGCATGTTCTTCATGTTTGCCCTGCACGTTTTCACATGGTGATGAATTGCATCAGGTGCCACTGTAACGACAACACCGGCACACCGTTATTTCAGGAAAAATCCAGATACATCAGATACGCACTCGCAAAATATATGTATACTTCAATGAAAGTATTTAACAAGCAATGAGTTAAAAAACTTTCTTTTTTTCTTTCTTTCTTTCTTGCGAGGCAGCAGGAATTCTTCTTGTTTGTTTGTCGAGAAAGAAAACAAAAATAAAAAAAAAAAAGAGGAAGAAAGAAATGAAGAAGAAGAAGAAGAAGGGGCAATGTAGCCAGCTCTTTCCCTTTTCGAATACCCGCCACCTCTGTGATTAACGAGTGGATTAATAAACCGCTAGAAAAATTGTGTTGTAACTGAAAAATTATCCTATGAGTAACTTGAGCCCTCGCATAGTTAATAACTCTCGCATGTTCTTGTGTACGGAAACGCACGAAAGTGCCTCTGACTTTGGGTATTTGAGCATTGCAGATGAAAGCAAGACATATGAAACGCAAGCAATCAACGAGGAGAAACAATTTACACGGCTCGCATTCTAAGAAAAGAAAACACTTTCATCGAGCATGATGAGACTTTGTTCTTTTTTTTCTCTTTTTGACTTGAACAAAATAGAAATTCATGGAATTTGCTCTGTTGGTGAATGAGTACATACAACAAAAATTAGAGCACAATGAGAAAAATGCGTGCGCTAGACAATGACCACAGAAGGACCAAGGGATATTTTCCACCCTTTGTCCTCCTCTGTTGTTACAACCCAAGAGATGAAGAAGTGCAATGTAATGACATGAACGATATTAAAATCAAATAAATTTCGAGCAGTTCGTATGAACCACGCTACCAGTAATCAAGATGTAGATATATATGTATACACGCATAAATATATACATATATATATACACATAGATAGGAATGTTTACCTCAGTATGCCTAAATTACTTAGCTGGCAATAGTCGATGATTATCTGCCAAATGCATTCTCTTCAAATTCACCACCTTTTCACAATTTACACCAGAACCGAAGAATCGTCGTTATCAGTTGACTTTTATCCTCTGGATGGGCGAAAGTACGATTGTACTTCCTCTCTCTTCGAAGACTTTGCTGTGTTTTTTTCATTATCTAGATTAGCCTATTTGCTACAATTAAAAATGAGGACCCAAGTTACTCCTAATATGTAAACAGTAGTTTATACACAATCTTTCTAACAGATTTATCTTACTAATAGATAGATTGAAAAAGGAAATGAGTAGATAAGAGCGAGCGGAAAAAGGAAGGGGGGAAACCGCATCGTAACATAAACGCAGTAACAGTAACATTGTGAAACGGTTCTGAACGAATAAATCTGATTAAAATAGGGAATTATGCAGAGATATATTTCCCATTGAAGTTGATTTAAGAAAACAAATCTTGTCATAAAATCCAATTAGAGTAATTTATGACATGGAGTAAAACTTTCTTCACAATATAATAACTATGTAATTTCTTGTCAAGCTTCATAGTGATAAAACATTTGGTGCATACTGTTTATACGTATATAGTTTAATTATTAGATAACCGGCGATGTTACAAATTAAATAGAATACAAATTGAATAGAAATTAACCGAATATCTGTGTACAACTTGTTTATCGTTGTCAATTGACTTATTGAGTACGACTACCAAGAAGGCAATCACAGTAATGTCAATATACGTACTTAGTGTGCTTGTACTCCATGAAAGAATGAAATAAATACCAGTTAGCTCACAGTAGTTATTTTAACATCATTGATTGATCGATATTATATATACGTATATAATATATAGGTACACATATAAAAACAATAACAACCCTATTGTGATTCATAGTTTTTATCCATGAAAATTATGAGAAACAAAATTATTTGCCTCTCATAATTTTCAAGTCCTGTGAAGGAAAAAAGCGGAAGTGCCTTGCAAACTCTTATTCCTAATGTATGTTAAATAATTTCATTTAGAGATAAATGCTCTCTTGAATACCTATGAGCAGTAGGTATGATATGTCGTGCTTATTAGCAGAATGTTTCATCGTACAAAATACAGAAACATTAAAACTATGTTTCCTGGGCACAAAATGTGTCTCATAGAGTAAGAAATTGTTTACATTTTGTCAAATAATTACTTACCTGAACCAATTTTAACAAGCCCGTTATGTTGAATAAATATAGTGTCACAAGTAAGATTTCCATGAATAATAGGTGGTGAACAAGAATGTAAATAACTGAAAAATTTAAAAAGATTAACACATATAACGGAAATACGTACGTATAATAAATAAATAAGCATTACGATTTAACCCGGGATTACCCATGTGAGAGTCTAGTCGCCGGGATGTACCTGCGCTAGACCCCCAGGTGGGTAATCCCGGGTTAAGAAATTCATAATATATACAAAAGATTATATTACCTCAATGCAGAAAGTATTTGAGTACACCAGCGTTTCCATGCTTGCAAAGGTAATTTTTTCACATTACGTTTTGTTCTTTTTAGGAACTGTTTCAAAGATCCAGAAGACATATATTCAGTTATAAATATGACCTGATAAATGACAAATAAGATTACAATCAACAGTCAAGACCAATCTGAACTTGGACACTCATTTTTCATTACATACCCGAGGTTTATCATTATGGGTGTCTGTCCAATACCTATGAAATTTAACAATATTAGGATGTTCCAACTGTGTAAGATTTTCAAATACAAGTTGTATCTTTTCTTCTTGCGCTTTAAAGTTTTTTCTTTCAGAAAATTGCACCTCATTCCAAACAACTTCGACTCCTTCCTCTGTATCCATCGCCAAATAAGCACAGTCGATTCCTGGTACATCGCGTTGTTCTACCTAAATAGCAAACACTTTACTGTTATAACACATTCATAAATACTTTACCTCGCTCGTATATAATTTTTATGGAATTCAAACTATACATACATAAAGTTAGTTTATTTACAAGTATTCATTTACAAAAATACATATTAATATTTATTTACAACGTACAAAAATTATACGGAGTAAAAATAAAGTCAGATTAACAAATTATATCTGAAGAGTTTATGAATACGGGATGACAGAACATATTACTACAATCATCCATTTTAAAGTTACTTCAGGCAATTTCGTGCCTAATGCCATTGTATCAATGTGACCTTGCAAGGAATTTATGGAGGGGAAATAACTCAGGGCACAGAGGTTGCCATTAAAGGCATTGTAATATGTTTACGACAATGGGCTATATGCAAATAAAATATGGAACAAAGCAAAAGAGATAGCCTATTTTTCTTTAAATAGACATACCTCCATTTCAGTAACTTCGTTTTCACTGCCTCTGGCTGCTCCGAAGGTAGAGCCTTCGGCTAACGTAGACTTGGAACCTACATATACCTAACATAAAATAATAGTTATTGAAAATAATGTAAAACTACTCGTTAAGCAAAATGTCTATTGTGTCTTTTTCATTAATACCGTCTAAGTGTGACAAAGGTATGTTTCGCTTTCAAACGAAACAATGAAAGGATTTGTCCAGGTAAAGCAATTTTGTGCAGGTAGTTAACCCAACCGTGCTGATTCATTTTTAAGAATCACCAACACTTAAAGCTTCAAGCCAAGAAATTGTTGAAAGTCAGTTGAATTCAAATACTTACACAAACTCTGAGAAAGCTAGGTCATAGTAATTAAGATGAAACATAATACACTTCAAGTAATGTGTTTGATATTATGATGTATAATACACTACAAACTGCTGAATCAAATTGAACTACTGCCTCTTGCTTATTAAACTTGTATGTATGTACAAGTACTCTTGCACGTTCTAATTCTTGGTACTCGGTGCGTCTTATTGTTAGTCGCACAGATTAACATAAAAAGCCTTAAAATATATTATTGGCAACTAGGACTACATCCATATCCCTTTGTTTATTCAAAACTACCTAACATACACAAACATCCTAACAGTTTATCTACAATTAGTGTCAATGCCAAACTAAAGTATGAGTCACAAGAGACTCTCTTTGTTGTCGTATCAACCACAACAGATTAATACTCTGTGAACTGCGGTGATACTGCTGACAAGAAGAACACATACCCGTTTAATACCAGGTGAATCCAAAGAACAAAAAATCCCAACCCGACTGTATGAGACAAGGTGTGAAACACAGAAATTGCGGAAACACTGTTGCTACATTGTTATGAAAAAAGAACACGGATACCTCTTCCCGGCGTTTGAGCCACCGCCCGCAGGGGCTCTCCTCCAGGATTTCACTCTCATCTTCCGAATCTTCACCACTTTCCCGCGGTGACTTGTGCTCTGGGTCCGTGCTGGAGCGACTCCCGGGCATCACACACGCGATTAGTTTAAGGGACAGCACCAAACAAAACGCAACGCGATCAAACTCATCGGTGATATAATTCCGGATGTTTGTCTCAATGTCGCATCTGTTTCACCGTAAAAACGCACAACCAGCGACGCGCACGTGAACGTGTACGGGAAAGAACAGGCCAGTGGCAACGGGCTGGCGGTATACCTTCTATCAGCTCGCGAATGACACATGCAACGCGACAAACTCGAGGGTCGTTGGGGAAACCCGAGCCGCGATATTTCTGATCTTACGCGACCACACGCACGGATCGACACTATTCCGTTTCCCTCAGGGCTTGGCCAGCGTACCGGACATCGCGCGGCCCATTCGCTGATCACACTGTCAAAATAAAACCAATGTTATGAGCAAAATAGCTTCGATCTGACACACACTCTAGTACTCATTTTCGCTCTGTCTTCGGTCACGTTCGCCCAGTATGGCGATTAGCGTGCACCGCACCCTTTTTCGGCACCGATCGCAGCGACACCTGCCGACTGCCGCCTCTCACCGCACCAACCTTCAATCGCATTTCATTCGTCGCTCGAGATACCGTTCGTAGGACCGAGTTTCACGGCGCGTGCGCCCCTCTATGTTGCCGCGCAGTTTCTGCTTTTAGGTTAGGTAGAACTCTGCTTCGACGTTAGAAGCATTTTTCTACGATTTCGAATTTGAGAACATCTTGAATCGGACCGACAATGATTTTCAATCGTTGAAATTAGTCTCTGGCTGAAATCATCTTTTTTCTTTTTTTATACTTTATCACATGCGACGTGCACGTGTCAGCCGCGTGATTCCATTCATAACCTAATGACGTCTATAAAAACATTGCCTCTGTCAGGGGGCACGAAACTGATCATCCTTGACGAAGGTGCGGCAATATTACGTATTACGCTTGTGCAATGGAATTCTGTTTATTTGAAAACAAGTTCAATGAATTTCCATCGTGCATAAACGGAGTTCCATTGTTGTCAAACAAACGTCACGTACATACATGTGTACACATATGCATTTCAGAGGCGACAGCGATGCACGCAAGAAAGTTGATCGCAGGATGGATACAGACACTAAGAGAAAGAGATGCCAGCCGTGTGTTCAGTCTGTTACTGTTCTCCGACTCAAAGTCTTCGTACCAAAACGAACCCAAACCTTTTGCCTTGAGTAATGTAAATATCTTTGATTACTACACGATCAACGTTGATAACAAGTTTGACATGACTGCTATAGGCGAGAAGGATCTTCTCAATCTGAAACATATCCTTCAAACGATAAACGCAAAGCACACAGTGATCGTCGATTGTTTAACGTCCTTGAATTCGCTTGTAGGCTTGTCAAAGACAATATGGTTCTTAGAGAGGTTGAGCAAACAGGTGCCACAAGTGATTTGCATTTACAAACGAGATTTTATATATAGTAAAATACCAGGCATCGAAACGTTGGGAAGTACGTATGTAAAGATACAGAAGTCACCTGCTACGACAAGCAAGGACTTTAACTACATTGTGGAGCTTTTGCATCGCAAAGTGGGTGGAGGAGTCTTGAGACAACAGGAAATTGTAAACCAGAATAACGTATCTTGTGAAATCGAGTCGAGGAAACTCGAGCAGAGTAGAAAGTTTGATTCTGCATACGAGGACTCCAAGTCAAAAATCGAGTCTTCGTTCAGGATAGAAATAAATGAAAATGAAATGAAACAGAGACAAGAACTGACATTACCATATATGATTAATACAAATGCAGTGAACACATCTAAGATCCATTATCATCCAGAGGATATAGATGACTTTGATGAAGAAGATCCGGACGATGACTTATGTTTTTAAATTGTATATACTTTAAATATTATGATATATCGCAACAGAGAAGAAAATGTTGATGTTCCAAGCGAAGATATTTATTTTATATTTATTTTACATTTTGTTGCAGTAAATATTGTATATTTTATTCGCATAATGAAATCTCTTACTAGTGTAGGACATTTTGTTTTAAATTATCAACAATAAAAATTATTAACAATAACTTTATAAAAAATAAATAGTTCTACTGTATAAAACCAATACTGCGCACAATACTAATATTTAAAAATAAAATATTAAATATTAGAATCTTTGGCATTCAACTCAGTTAGTCATACTATTATCGTTTCACTTTGTTCTTTTGTTTGCACCATAAAGTATGTGTTAGTCATAACCGTAGACGACAAATGAAACAGCCAAATATATGACGTTATAATTCTATGGAATAGACTTTAAACGACATTTTCATACTTTAATAACGTAACAAAAAATATATTTCACGTACCAACCGAAAAAGATATTAAAAAACTGTCTTGAATAAAATTATTTCGAATGATATATTAAATAAAATTGTCAGATCACAAAATTCTAAAACATTAACATTTGACAACACAATTGACAAAAATTGCAAAAATAATCCTTTTGTAAGATTTGATCGAAATATTAAAACTAGCCATTGAAGGTGTAAAGTAAATTTTGGTCGTAAAAATGATAAGCCCCGTCGATATGTTGCAACACTCTACTTTCTAATAAGCTACGGCCGTATTGAACAGCTTCTTCTCTAGTTTGTGCAATATTGGCGTCGAGCAACCAATTAACTAAATCAGTACCAGTAAAGACACCTTTGTATACTTTTAATAAACGTCTACGACATATAGCTATACGAGCACGACATTCAGCCAAATGGCAACTATTAAATTGATCCCTGATAGCCTTCACTTCTGGGCTTAATGCATCTTCAGACGGAAGTTGCAACTCCTTCCCTGCAAGTATAAGATATAATATTGAATTATAAAATTTTTCAAATAAATATAATAAATATAAGAATAATATAGTAATACCGATACGCCATTTGCGGCACATTTTTTGTAACCAACATCCTAATTTTCCAAGGCCAGCATCCAATCCGAAGATAGTAAATGCGATTAATGATTGGCCAAAATTCAAAGCAACATCCAAGAACGCTAATTCTGCGTAAACTCCAGTCAACTGTTCCATTAATAGCGTTCCAACTGATATAGATAAGCCCTGAAAATAATTGCGGTAAATTATAACTTCACAATCGTATTTAAGTATTTTAATATATACTTACTATAAACATGGAACACAGAAGTAAAATAACAAATACAAGATGTCGTAAAAGCTGAGGATCATTTCTTTCATTCTCGATATCTACGTACAAATCGCAATCGTAAATCTCGTTATTGTTACTTCTACATATACCATCTGGACAACCATCTGCGTATTCACAGCCAATGCTAACAACATCGAGATAATTAAAATAAAATTTTATCAAATTTTTATTTTACAAAATTAACTTACATTGGAGTATGAGAAGTTGAAGAAATCAGATCCTCAACATCTACTATGCGTCTTTCCTCGTCATCGTTATTAAAATTTTCGACATTTGTCAAATTGGAATGAGATGCTAGAATGTTTCGACGCTGGTAACTCTGCTGCAAAACCAAACAACCCACTGTTACTGTAAAAAAGAAAAATGAAATGGTAAAAAAAATTATGTTTCATTTAATCTCATACATTGTAACATTATATACCTACCAATGAAACAAAATATTAATATAAAAGTAGAAATTGCAGCTTGAACTGTACTGAATTGAAAATTTGGATTTCTGAATTCAAGATCAAATTTCTTTGGAGACATAGTACAACACATTATAATCACTATTAAAATTGGAATTCTGAAAGAATATTAATACTCATTTTCCTTTTTCTCTTTTCGAGATTAATTGTAGAAAAAGAAGTATTGATCATACCCCCATCCAATAGCATAAAACCATTTCAGAATATTGCGAACAAAATCTATAGAACGAGAATTTAAATATAATAAAGTAACAGCTATTGCTACAGTCCACATACGACTTGCGTATACTCCCACAGTAATTAAACTGAACTGGATATACCTACAATAAATCACAGTCAAAGTAACGTAAAAAATTAAATTAAAAATTCAGAATAAACTGATAACAATTACCATAAAACTGAGCCACTATTATGAGATTCAAGTTTGGTCCATATTATAACACCTATGGCTGTAGCTAGCTAAAAATCACAATTTTTGTAGAAACGAAATCAATACAAATTTTAAGTTAATAAAATTGAATACAAACCTGTGCAATTACAATACAAAATGTACATTTATGAGTGACGCATTTATATTTTTTTCTTCTTAATCCAACGAAACAGATTATGAGCCACACGCATACTGTTGCTGAAGCAATGCTTACGTCGAAAGAAAATACATTTAATTGATGTGCATAGTTCTCTGGACTAACTCCAGTAGAAACAGCATCGATTAATTTCGCTGATACAAACATCAATGGAGCAGACAAGAAAGTACAAGCGACCATTGCTGATGCGATTAAATCAATTTCTAGATTATATCGTAGAGTGAAAATAAATAAGGCCGGTGCTGTGGGAATAGTACCATACAAGAATCCATATGTACTTAGATCTTGAGTATCTGTAGTATTTTCTCCAGCATTCAAGAGAATAATAGATTCTCTTATAACCAAGGGAAGTACCAGCAATTTCACTGATATCAATATACCTGGTATTACAAGAGCTGTACCTTTCAATTTATGCACTTTTCCAACCATCATTAATCCCAATAAAAAAAGAGCACTTGCAGAGAAAGCATTGCCAAATATATCCAGTACAGTTGCTAATATAGCAGGTACTAGATGACTGAAGATAATATTACCAAGAATACCGAGAACAGTCATAACAAGTATTGGATTTAGGGCAATTCCTTTTATAATAGAAAAAACCATGTTTCCATAACTTCCATGATTTTCATTGCGACGTTTACCAATCTCTAATAATACAAAGCCGATTGGATTTAGAATAGCCAATGATATAGGTGCCATTAAATACAAATAAGCAGCGTATTCGGGATGTGTTTGGCCATATAGTGCTTGAACTATAAAAATACATTGTTTTACTTTTCAAGCTGTACTTAAAGTGATCTCTATGAATTTACTTACTCATTGGATATCCAATAGCGAAGTCATTACTTTGCGTGGTAAATATTGCAAAAAGTGCAGCGCAACCTGGATTTGATGATCTTTTAATGACCAGAGATATTCCAAGAACAATGAAAAACACAAAGCTTTTGGCTACCAAGACAGCAAGAAGGAACTTCCAGTTTACTAGACTAAAATCAAGCTTTGCCAGTGACATAAAAATTAAAGAAGGTAGGGCAAACGTTCCTACAAATGTATTTAGGCCATTTGCTTCTGTTTTAGTAATGACATCAAATCTTCCAGCGATATAGCTGAAAAATGAGCCATTTATTCATATGCACTTTCATATCTGACATGAGAAAAATTCAAAGACCAAGTTTACCCGCATAATATAATTGCAAAGCACTGTATCAATGCAAGATATAAATTATCTATCGGTTCAACTTTCATTGTTGAAACTTCAATCTCTTCCAACAGAGGCATGGCTAACGCAGCTTTCTTAAACTTCTGAAAATAAAGAATAACTTGATTAGTATAAGTATAATTTAATTAAGCATAAATGACAAAAGTTGAAATATCATTTGACGTATGTACATTTATATTATAATTCTTCCTAATGTAGATATTGTCATCTTTCTAATATAACATCATCATTATTACAAGGATATGTACACAAAAAAATATTATGCAGCATTAACCCCATATCAGCTTCATGTTTACTCGCGCTGTAGTATTTATTTTATAATCTGAAACAAAAAAAATTTTAAATGTACTCCTTAGGACAGTGATTGCCATATGTTCATAAATATCAAGTTAATGGATATTCCAAAGAAATGAAAAAATTATATTTCAAAATACTATTTTAGATTGCAAGGAAACAATAGTAAAACTATCATTTACAATGCCACGGTGAACAATCTGACAAACATGAAAATTTTCTCTTTTCACTAGTGTGCAAAATATTAACACACTTTATATCAAGCACGTTCGATATTCTTTGTACACTTTCGCATGAAAAACAAGATACGATAGGAAGATATCGATCTCGATTAATACGAGAAAAATGTATTATGCAAGTTCATATTGGCGAAATATTCATAATAATCTACATCCCTTATCTGCGCATAGACAATTTCCAATCTCATCCAAACGTACAAACATCGACATCTCTCGCCGAACCGTGCGATTGGGCCATCCGCATCACGTGTTTCGAACAAGACATCAGACTTGTTGCACCAAAAACATTTGATTTCAAATGATTGAAATCTTACTTTTCGAATACAAGAATTCTATTTGTAACTATCGCGCTGTAATGCCAAATTGCGACCGTTTTGGAATGATTTCAAAATTAACGTGGCTATTATAAAGTTGTATAATAGCCTAACGCAATCGTTGTTAGAAATTGTAGAAATTTCATTATCGTTTAACCTTATCGCACATTTCCGTGTGTGTGTTCTTTTTTTTGAACTCGATAAGCCCTGATATTTGTTATCGATATTTAGAAACGAAAATTAATTAATTGACGATAAATTGAGATCGTGTATGTTTGATAGAAGCTTAAAAAACATACGTGCGCGTATCGTGTTGCGTGTAATCAATAGAAAATGTAATTCTCATGTTTCACATGCGATAGTCATATCGCAAATGCGTAATATCTGGAAAATTTTAAACGTCTGGAAAAATATACGCAGCACGTATCAATTCCGCAGTAATAGAAAGAAAATAAAATGCCAAGCACGATAAAAGAAGAAAAATCGCCTCGTGTCTAAGTTCTGTGTCGAAATGTTTGTACAGATAACCCCTGAATAGTACGGAATTACAACCAATAGGTTATCGTCCAGAAAAATTCCGTGTAATAGACTTCAAACTCGATTAAGTAATACGTATACAAACATTGCTTGAAGAATAACGAATGACTGCAAATTTTGCGAATCGCAATTAAATGATGATATCGTAACAGAGCAAGAGAAAGTCCTGAAAGTTAATAAAAATTACTTCCTTTTTTATTGTTATTATTCTCGGTGTATTAAACTCGCTTTAATACAACAATGCAGCGTTTAAACTATATACTAGATATATAGTGCTATAGTATATAGAGTATATAGTATACTAGTAGGTATATAATATATACAGGTATGTACTAATAGGATATACCTTTGCGTCACCGATCTCTATGAGTCATACATTCTCACAATCTTGCGCAATTGTACTGTTATGATACTTGTGCAAATATTTTTTTAAATCGATACGTTTCTTCGTTGTTTACCGCGATTGGAAGATTAACAGAAATCTGACTTTCTTCCACTGGGGAAGCACTTGTTTTCTACAGATAATATACAAGGTGTTCTGCAACTTGTGGTGTAAAAATCTGTCGAAAAGAATATAATTTTTTGGGAAAGTCGAATTTGAAAATTCATCAACTATATTCGAAATCCTCCTCACGATGGCTTCAATTCGAAAAAGTATTCACTCTCGACAGATTTTTACACGTAGAATCGCGAGTCGCGAGACACTGTACATGTACGAAAAAAAGATCACGTATTTTACTTAGTCACGGAAACTTCCTGGAAATATACGTACAAAGAATCAAGTATTTTGGTTAGTCACGGAAATTCGTGGAAATGTATACGTGACTAATTAAGTAGCACGAAGCTACTCAAAATAATAACCAAATAGTAATAAATGAGACCAAGGGAATAATAATATCCAACGTGAAAACATTGCGACATTCGCGTACATCGTCACGTCGATAAAAATTGCGATGTGGTCGCGTAGCTTTCGCATGCACAATGGCTTCTCTGCGAGTGCAAAAGTTGAAAGAACGAAATCGCGCCAATGGGGCAATTGGTTCGTTTCCAATTTTCGCGAAATAAATAATGCAACTGCGTAGTAATTTCCCGTCGTCGAGTCACATTGCGGTCACGTGGTCGTATAGATAGCGTGTCTACATGTGTGTACGTACGTAAGTATATACAGTACGTGCGCCTTCGCGTGACGTCAGCTGATTCACTGGAACAACGTTCGCTTTTGCGACGTATCGCGATAAGAATTTCACCGCTTTTCTCTGTCAAGAATTTAGAAATTCCCGGTTCAAGGTCATTTGGAACAACGCACTCGACCTATGCAAGAAACAGTTCGCGTTTACATTACGTGCACATGTGCACATACACGCGTACGTATAGATACACATGTATATACACATATGTATACGGAACAGACGAAAAAGTGAGACCGATCCCTCACTCCGTATCTATTCTTTGTTCTTCCTTTCTCTTTTCTGGAAATTTCAGTAATTATGTTACACAGTTTCGTAGAATGATCTGTTCATCACGGCTTATAAATGAACCGTAAGGCTTCGACGGCCGGACAACTAGAGATAGCATTCATCGTCGTTCGACCAATCGTGTCGAAGATGAATTCCCATCGTAGCCGATTTTCTTTTTTTCGCACGGTAATTCGTCACTTTGGGAATACCGTTCTGAGGCAAAAGGGTCGAGGGAACAATAGGGATCTGCAAAGTTCGGAAGAGGCACCTGACTTGTTATCGTCGTCTGATCGCGATGTAAATTCAACGAGAAGACAAACAATGCTGTCCCTTTTATCGAAGGGGAATCGGTTTTCCAATTTGTTTATAATGAATAAAAAGACGCACAGCGTCTACATGTTCTAAACTTTACGTGGGCAGAGCGGTCACGTGGGTGAATTATCAAAGGCCTGCAAACGAGGCGAGGGAGAGAGGAGAACTCTCTACGTATATAATCTTGAGTACAGAGCACACATTTCACCACTCAGTTCTAGTTGGACTTCGGACGTGTGAATTGTGTCAAGCCTTCCGACGAGGGAAAGTTTTTGTTTGTTTGGTGCGCTCGTTGTATGGGTAAGATTTTTGCACGTTTTGACTTTTTTTTCCTTTTTTCTCTCCTTCCTCTCGTTGTGTCGGGGAATTTAATTACTAACTTCGATTTTCGAAAGATACAGGCGAGACTGACTCGTATTTCGACGAAAGTAACTCGTCCGATGCGGGCCTGAAACATCTTGCCTGAATGCCCTACTTCACCAGCGAACTGCTTTTCGATGTTCGCACACGTACATACATTTACAATTTGAATTATGTATTTTTTTTTAATGACGCAATAAGTCTGAACCGAAGGGACTTTTATTAGTTTATTAACACTGACGCGAATAACGTCACGCTGGCTGCGAATTACCAGATTGCGAAACGAAATGTAAACATCGATGTTTCAGCATCGTTTGGAAATTTTACGCTTTTTGCAATGCGCTTGAAATTCAAATTTCATTTCTTTACAGAATGTCAAACAAATATGTATACATATATATATGATGTGTGTATTTTTTTTTCACTCTTACGTAATTGTTTTGAATCGGTTCGAAGGACACGTTACGTGCCAGAAACATTGACACACCTTCCTATATCTCTTTCGATAAATATTCAGCGCATTGTCAGTATCGAAGGTGCTTTGTTCTTTCTTTTCGATTTTCGAAATTCGACAAATGAAAAAACAGCGTACCAGCGCGAATGGTATCGCTGCAAGTCATAGCAGACACGTGGCACGCTCTACGTACCTATTTGGTCGTGTATTGATTCATCACGCGTACGTGTTGTGTCGCCATGTTAGAGCCAGCAGCAACTCCGATCCGCCTCTCCGCACTCATTTCGCAAATTTTCTCATACGGAGTCGTGCTAATCCGTGTGCTTAAATAGCAATGGACATACGGTAAGCAGATTTCTCGACAGAGATAAGTGATTAGCGACGAATGAATCATTACTTGCTGACGGTCGACTGACAGTTTTACACTTGCGTGACGTGTAACGCAAATACTCCTCTTGCGTGTTCCTTCGAACAACGATCTTTCGACCGAGATAGAAAAATGAGCCGCCTCAGAATTTCATAGAGTGACGCAATTTTTTTTTTATTACAAACGCGAGTATTTCCAAAGAAAACGTATGAATAATTAATTTTCATTCACACATCTCTGAATAAGAGAATTTAGACTAGTGTGAATAATTGTTATTGTATTTGCAGAGCGAGAGAAGAGTATAAAACACGGAGAGAGCCCTGTGGAGCCAATAAGCAGCTGCAGGGATGAGCATGGCTTTGTGCCAACAGTGGGCCGTTGGGGAAGTGAATGGCCAAGTTGACTCGAGACGGCAGAAATATGGTGCCAGCCACAGGGGCAGGCACGCGGGCCCTGGATCAGGGGTGTGCCGCTACCCCTGCCGGTATGGGCCCATTACGAGGCACCAGCCTTGACCGTTCCAACGGTCGAACAATATGAGGAACTAGCAAGCAGCGTTGAACTAGAAACGCAACATTTACTGCGTGAGCATCGCTATGACACCATTGGCAATTTCCTTAAGTAATTGTCACAACGTACTCTTTTACGAGTTCTTGCTTGCGGGCTGACATAAAGGAGTAAAACTTGTTCTTTGTATCTGACAGATTCTATAAGGATTACATTGCGAGCGGTGAAACCATACTGGAGAGATTTTATCACAAGTATCAACCACTCATAACGCGCGAACATCACACCTGTGTGGGCTTGGGATTCGAATTGCTGTACCGTTTGAGATGTTTGAACAAAAGATTTCCTGGAATAGCAAGCGGCCTCTATCTAGTGTCCTGTGAAGAGGTACGTTTATGATCCTTAACCCCTTGACATGCAATGATGACTGAGATATGTCATACATTTCTTAAGCTAAAGTTGACAATGAGATAGTGATATAAGGATATAAAAAAATATTTTTGTACATGCTTGATATGGCTCTTTTCAACGCATATGTACTATATCACTTTTTGACCATGTCGAATTTCATTTAATTCGTATGTCAAGGGCCGAATTCTTCTCTTTTTTTTACTTTGTAAATCAAGATTTTACACGAGTCTTCCTCTCGTACAGACGATCGATAACGTCGCTAGTTACGTTGGCGGACCACCCGCTGCAGATAGTGGAGAGAAGGAACATGTACTGGTGTGCCTGAAGATCGAAATTGGCGGACGGAAAGGAGTTATGCTCCTGGATCCTGGATATCACGTAGCTCGCGTGATCACTGTGATGGAAGATAAGTTATACCCACATACAGGCTGGTTCATTCAATCGGACGAGCCAGATTGCAAGAAAGAGTACAATTACTTCCTATGTGCTAACGATCCTGATTATATTGAATGGCACGAGAGGAAAACCCGTTCCGGTACCTTGGAGAGAACACAAGTTGCTCTTATATACGTGGCAAGGCCTTACTTAACTGCCATCGATGTTACCGAACGCAGAAATTTGGTTTATAACTTTAGAAGCCTTCTCGCGAGAGACACCAAGGGTCATGTTACAGCCGGCATATATTTCCCCGTTGTGCTGGATATGAATAATGCACAAACTTTTTCAATTTTTTACCAAACGAACAATGGCAAAAAGAGAATCAAAATGGCATTCAACAAGTTCTGTAATTCACCGAAGGTAAGTTTTTACATTTGTATATATAGATTGGTGTTAAAAACACTATTGTGAATAAAATTAATATCGAGCTGTCTCTTATCCAGATAAATCCTGATGCTGAAGAGAAAGAAATTATCGCCGAATGTGCCCGGCAATTAGGTCTCTCGCAAGATACTCTAGAGGATCTACTATGTGCTCTTGCTACAGTTATATGCGACTCAGCCTTCGTGGCTCAACTCCTGGCTATTAATTCGAGAATCAACACTTTAGCAGAAGACAATTAACAGAAGTCAATCTGCCCTGTGCGGTGCAGACAATATATAGTGTATCATTTTTTTTGCCAGCTATCCTCTTATGTTCTTTTTATTTTGTTGATGATTATTTTAATAACTTTACTATGTTCTGCAGATAATAATTTTATCCTTGTTATAAAATAGGGTATAATATTTTCTATTGACTGTTCAAGAAATTTACGTATTTTATGCGTTGTTGTTGACAGTTCAATGAAAATATTAATGTATATATTAATCACTTTTTTAATATCATTTTCAAAATTCTGTTCATCTATCTATTCTTATCGTCGATAAATATTTAATCTTAGATCATTTTAAAGTCTTAAAAAGTTTGAACGTTTTTGTCGAAATACTGTTGAGTTTAAGAAATTAGTCTCTTGCTTGCGTTCTATACAAAAAAACTCATAAAAAATGGTGGTATTAGGGTTGACTTATATTCAATTTTGTCTTTAGTATAAAGGTGAATTAAGTTATACTAAATCTATAAGTTTTATTTGAATAAACAGTGACAAAAGTTATTACATTAAATTGTACATTTATTGATAAATATACTACCCCAAAATATGTTCATTCTCATTTAAAATTGTGAATATATTAACATATTCTTAAAATCGAATGCTCTTTTGATATTAAAGAGCTAAACAACTAAAACTGAAGCTATTACTTCACGAAAATCTGATAAACTTCAATTTCAACATTTCAACTACAAAGTATATTTTTATTGATAAATTAAATTTTACGGCATACCTTTTTTTGCGACGTACGTAGATATACAAAATGAAAATATTTTTTGACATTCTTACTCTCATACTCGTACACATTGATATATATTATTTCATGTCATAGACTTTCTAAATATATGTTGTTCATTCGTAAAGATTCTACGAAACAGTAAGTCTATATGTAAAATGGAAAACAACTGCAGCATAACTTCGGTAAATCACTCACTGTTAAGAATACCTAACAAATATATCCTTCAGATTTTTATTTGCAGAAAGTATTCGGAAATTAGAAAACTATACTATATGACCTGTTTAAGTCTATAGGAACGTGATATAAGAAATTGTTAATAAAACCGTTCTAGACTCAACGTAATTTTATTAAACGATACGAATCCTACCGAAGTTCTGCAATATCATCAGCAATATAGTAGTTTGAATGGTTGAATAGAGAATCTACACATTACTATCTGGTACAACGTGACACTTTTTGCATACTTTATTATCCGGTATATGTTTACGTTTTCGGTTTCCTATTGCGGTTGTAGTTGCTGCTGACGCAGATTTAGTATCTTCAATACAATTGGAAGAACTCGAACTGTAAACATGAGAACGTTAAACCACAATATGTCTTTAATTATGATTAAAATTTGAAACATGAGAATGAGAATACAGCAATGTCGTTAGTCCATGTGTACAAATTTTCAAAAGTATTTTTGTGAAAAAAAAAACCAAGAGGACAATTAATACATTTTTTTATTTCGCCAAGAAGTAGAGTATGAAAAATAAAGTCGGCAAAATATATTGAAAAAAAATTATAATAAAATTGTTAATCGAAATATCAGAACATAAATATTAAGTGAAACGCAACGTACTTACGTTGCATAAGTGTCACCACTGTGTACTATGCTTTTACTTTATTAATATTTGCGGCTGTACCTGCAATACACAATATATGGTATATTTTATACCAATGTTGTTTGTTGTATTACAGATGACAAAATAAGTAACGGACTATATAAACAAATATAATAACGAATAATTTATATTTTGTAATCTGATGTAGAAATAAAAAAATAGTTTTAAAGTAAAAGACAAGTTTTCAATTTTCAACACTTTGCCTTGAAATACAATTAAAGTTGAAAAGATACATGTTACTTATATAATAAGCATGCAGCAAATTAGGAATATATTATAATCCTTGCTACTGCTTATAACTATTACATGCTACTATAAAATTCTACTATAAAATTCCATTTCTGACATGTTTTATTATCAATTTTATTACACAGATGCATGAACATTTTAAATAAATGAAAAGTAACTTTGAGGCATAAACATGAAAGCAATTGTTCGTATGTCACGATGACACTAACATACATATGCTTATATATTTAAAAATACAGGTAAAAATATAGATTTTATATTTTTCATACACAGATATTACAATACATAATATATTCATATATTAAAAACACGAATTTTTTTAATTAATGAAATGTATTTTTTTTTTAATATATATACAATATTGAGAACTCTAAAAGAGAAGTGAAACTTACCTTAAACTGTAAGTGGGAGTGTTTACTTTAGATGGTGTTGGCAATTTTAAACTACGTCTAGATGTCCATCTCGATGGATTAGAATATCGACTATGAAAGTATACAATAAGCAAATCAATAACGCACAAAATAGATACGATGAAGTAATAAAGTAAAAGAATGTTCAAAATTTAGAAACACTTTGGTTTTCGCTTGTATGTTATATTAGACAAAAAAAAATTCAGGCGTAACAGTATATGTTTTATTGATACATGATACTTTTATTAAACTCAATGATTTTACATTACTATAAAACACTTTTATCAAGAAAATTTTCCTGCAGCTAATTTATTACTGTAATGATATAGACTAATCATTAATCGTATATCCATGTAACGGAGCGGTATTATATCATTATATGGCAAATAATATAAAAAACTAAACATATAAATATCACAAAAGGACTGAAATATAAAATATATACATAGTTTTTCCTAGCCACTAGATTGAAACTAGATTGAAACTAGACAGAAAAGATAAAAATTAAAGCTTAAATGTTTTTATTTATGCGTTTAATACAAAATTTTGGCAGGGAATGCGCAAAGTAACATGACGTGATCCTGTTTCTCCATTCACTTTTTTTTACTCGTACGTCTCCTGGATTTCTTATGCACACTGCATAAATTTCAGTTTGTCAATAAGTGCTACACATATAATATTGCTATACATGCACACATAAGCACATTTCTATACTCATACAGGCATGCATACAGTTGCTACTTCTTAATACTATTACGTATTAATATTTTATGTGGAAAAAAAGGATAGATCAAGAACTAATTGTAAAAAAATGTTAAAAAAAGTTCAAATAGTTTTATACCTCTTTGTGCAAATAATTGTAAACAAAGGAAAAATTATCCGCGAGATATGTTACAAGAAAATTCAATTGACTAACCTTCCCGATGGATCAGGCAAAGCCAACTGCCTATGATCAGATCGATTTCGATGACCATGGCTATTATAGTGAGAATTACCACCATGATAACGACGAACACGTGTCTCCCACTCGTTATTAAAGCTTTCTGCTTCCTCTGCGAAACAAAATATTCGTTTTACATATGATGAGAAACAAATCTTGCTTTCAAAAATCTGTTACCTTCATCAAGATTAATAAATTCTTGACGCTCTTCCTGTTCGCCACTGTGCAGATTGTGTTCCCTCTCTAAGATATGTGCTCTATCTCCAATATGATGTTCAATGGCCATCTTTTTTGTTCCAGTAAGAGAATCACAGACTGTTGTCTTCGTTTCCTTCACACCACCAGGAGCGGTCGTTGTGGACATGGTTGCTTGGTAAACCTGAGGGTGACCGTCGGTACCAAATGTCATTACAGATTTTGAAGTGAAGGAATGACAATTCGTGCTTTGTGCCATATTGTCCTAAAACATTTACATTCACATTAGCTTTCTATTTAATTCATGAACTCTGTAAGCGACTTAAACAAAAAAGATCAACGTACAAAATTTGTGAACATATTATGAAACGATGGAAATCCAAATGGCAATATTTGAAGGTCGTCCTGACGACCTCTGTCCCTGTGACTGGCATGTGTGATAGCATTGTGGCGAGGATGAGCCATCATGCCGAACGGATCATTGAACAGAGAAGTCATCATGTCATTCATGTGCCTCACAGATTGCATATGAGACCTGCGAAGGAACACACACAAAGATTATAATGAAAAATCACATGAAAAAAATCAATGATTACGTAATACATTAAATAACAACAGAACAAGGAAATGGAATAGAAACAAGTAAAATCTTCGAAATTTGAAGCAAGTGTTCTTTGTGTTCTTTGTGTCACATCTTAAATTAGATTAAGCAAAGTCAAATTTACTTAAATGGTAATTCTTTTATCTGATACATGTACAGAATTTTAAGATCGAGCCTAGATATACTTTCTGCACAAATTTGCGCAACGAGATTTACGAAATAATGTTTTGACGGTAATCACGATAAAATAATAAAAAAGAAAAAAAAATGTTCGATATAAACATCTCTTATTTCTCGCAAGGAGCTAACGCTAAGCGAAAAATTGCTTTAACACTTACCCGAAAATAGGATCATCGTTCAGATCGCCCATCAGTGAACCGAAAAAGGACATTTTGAGAAACAGTTAGGCGGACACTGTTTGTGGAAAATGAAAAACGAGAAAGTTACGATCGATAATTGAGAGTGGAGCAACGCAGCCACTTGGATCGGACGGGATGAGGTAAATTTTGGGGAGGAATTTGGCCGTGGAGAGTTCCTGCAGAAACTTCTGGAAATAGTAATCAAGCAAATCGTTCGGCCACTACCTGACACCACCGATCATAAACCAAGTAGCGAACGGTACACAGCGATCGGGTCCAATCGTTGCAGTCGCACGCATGTGCACGCGCAATTTCGGCATTTTGACGCGTCCGCATGTGAATTTTGCTGTACTTTCACCAATACGATCGCAGTGTATACTATAGCCAAACTATACTGTACTGTACCGTTCTATAGCCAAACTATATTATACTGTACTGTACTATAGCCTACTATACTCTTCGATCTTAAAAACTTTTCTGTAAATCGAGTTTCAAATTTTTTTACAAAAGTTACCTCTTCGATTCGATTGTAGATTAATTTGAATTGTTTCAAACTGATTGTGTCTAAAAAAAAAACGTGAAAATTATTATTAAGGAAAATTACATATTAAGGAAAATCCGTTTTACGATTTAAATCGTATTAATGACAGAAACAAAATGGAGAAAACAAGAAAACACAAACGAAAGTAACAATTTGCAAAAAAAGAAAAAAAAGAATATATTGAAATACTTTTTGGTAATCATAATAAATATCATTGGTTGTGCTGTTTGATTTTTAGTATAAAGAGAATATATAAAATCACAGAGAGCGCCACGTGCAAATTAATGAAAACACGTCATCGTTGCATTTAACAGTAATACACACATACACACATTCAAAGCAGGAAAGAGGAATTGAATTTTTCCTCGTACGCGAGTTTCAAATGTCAACGTCTGTGTGAAAATTCTTTCCTTCGCGCGGATTCAAACATTTTTCATCGACAAAATGTACTTGAAAAATGAAACGTTCGTTGAAGTGTTATGGAGATCGTTCTAACCTAGCTTTTCTTCAATCGAATGGACAATAGGTAAGTAAACTCTACGTATTCTTCTGTGAATGCCTCTATCGTAAATATTAGTGGAAGATGCATTTCGGTTAGATCGTACTGCAGGGAGATTAAAAGTTGTTGACATTTCTCTTGGCAATCTGGTAGATTTCACCAAAAAATGCAGATACGAATGCGTTCTTAAGACGAGGAATCCAACTGGATCAAAAGTTATATAAAAGTGAGCATTTTCAACGTACTTTTTAGGTTAGTATGACGCTGTAATCGCTTCCACACATAATCTTATTGGTTCGTACGGGTCCTTTTAGATAAAAACAATGTTTGCAAGAAGGATTTTCGATGACCCGAAAGTTAAAACCCCCCGAAAAAAAAAATCTTTTAACGAAATCATTTGGCGACCGCAGCCCTAAGGATTTCCGGCCGTCTTTCGTTGGCCCGTTTATACAGACCTAAAGATGGTCTCAAAAATGTGATATGTAATTTTTAAAGAGAACGCTGTATCGATAACCTTTTTGGCCTTAGCTCGTCAAAATCTACCAGATTATCAAAAAAAAAAAGAAAAGAAGTAAATAATTTTTGATTTCTTAAACTAGAATTCACCCTGGGTTTTGTTTAGAGAATTTATTTTTATATGACAGCTAAAAATGTATTAAAAATATATCAAAATAAATCAATACAAATTTGTTTCTTTTTGCATTATATAAGTCTACTTTATTATTACAAGTATCACATTCACAGTTTCTTGTTATTATATAATGGCACATTTTTCTTTGTAGCATAACGTAAAGCATGATGTCCAACGGTATTTGGGTCTCTACTGAAGAAGTCGGAAGGAAACCAATGTCAAACAACAAAAATTGTCCGCCAGTAACATCCTCGACGTTGAACTCTCCACTTATGAAGTTGTCTTCATATTTCCTAGCTGTACGACCCTGGTCACTGAGCGCTTCGTTAATGCCAACACTTCTTGGATCTGCGTTAGCATACCGGCTAACAAGTACAGCAAGTTTCAGTTGGATATCCTTGATCTTAACAGTGTATACAGTTTTTTGTGTACACGGAGCTGGTAACGTAGTGAACACTTACTTTGATTATATAAAAGGAGTCGACAGCCGAAAAAGTGACGACAGGATATTGGTAGATCAACTTTTGTCAAAAGATGAACTAGTTTCGCTAGGTGCGTTGTTATATACAGCGGGATGTTTGGGCTTCGTTTTATTAACCACTATTTCTCCTGCGAAAATGGAACATCTCGCGCTTGTGTATTTTGGTGGTCTATCCTCGTCGTTTCTTTACACAGGAGGAATAGGGTTTAAATACATTGCGCTGGGCGACGTTCTTATCCTAGTTATATTTGGTCCGATTTCAGTTTTGTTTGCGTTCATGGCTCAAACCGGTTACATTGAACTAGGCACGATATACTATGCTATACCTCTTGCGTTAAACACAGAGGCTATTCTGCATAGTAACAATACCCGAGATCTAGAAAGTGACAAGAAGGCAGGTATAGTGACGTTAGCTATTTTAATTGGTCATACCGTGTCTCATGTTTTGTACGCTTTTTTACTGTTCACACCATACGTAACACTGGTGGTACTTGCATTAAGGTACTCTATATGGTTTCTGTTGCCAGTTACTACTCTACCAACTGCCTTCAAAATAGAGAAACAATTCAGAAGCCCCCATATGATCCAGAGTGTGCCTAAGCAAACAGCTAAATTGAACATGTTTCTAGGCATTTTATACGTTATTGCTTGTTTGCTTGTGGATCCTCTTCCCTATTTGTAACATACATGCCGCCTTGCATCATTATTCAGAAAGGAACTTGAATGTCCAAGCAATTATATGGGCAGCTGTTAGCCTACATACATGTAATCCTAAAATAAGTTATAAACGTTCTTTTCATGACATTTAGGTTGATTTTAAATTATTGATTACACGATACATCACGAAACGCATTTCTTAATGTGTCGTCACGTTACTAATATTATTTATATTACAAGGGGGGGACATTTTAGATAACATTTCTAACAATGCAACGGTCTTGGATACGGTGTGAAGCAGAATTACATCATTCAGAAATTTCCATTTCTATTCATAATTTCTCCAACGTGTGCAACTGGGTGTATCTTTGCACTTTGCACTACGTGCGAAAGACAGAATCACGATAACAAACTACATAATTAGTTAAATATGTTCATAATAACTTATCGCAAATAATTTATCTTTTTACCGTTTAGAAGTTAAGTAGTATTATTTATAAAACGAACCATATGCATATCTTTTGTAATCTCGGGAACATAAAGATCCCGAGAATAGAGAACATAGAATACTAATGGAATATTATTTCGTCGTTTGGTACTGGTACACGGATTTACGATGCAGCATGTTGTAAATTATATCGACGTGACTTTGCTTACGATCATTTTTTCGTAATCCTTTTTTTTTTTTTTTTTTTTTTTTTTTTTTTTGATGCAGGATCGAATTGTACACTTTCCGCGAGAAGCAAAATAATAAAATTAAAACTTCAATTTCTGTTGTTTGTCGAAGGTAAAGCAATACACTATACATTTAATTTCGCCGACAGCGAAAGGTATAAATTTACAACCGATCGAACCATTACGATACGTTAGGATCGATTCTATTATATATATGTGTAAATTAATTACAACTATATTTAACAAATGAATTTATGACAGACGTCGTTCGTTTTGTTTACATATTTATGTAGACAATTGCAGTCTCGATGAAAACGAGATACATTGTTATACAATACAAGTACTAAAAAAAGAAAAAAAAAAATAAGTTTTTACGACAATACTTTAATAAATCATTGTTTATCGATTAATATTTTTTTCCTCCCTTTATTTCCCTTGGTGAGAAAAATCATTCCAGTTCTAATAACTAAGGTTCGATACAATTCGCGCAAACGTTGCATAAATAAATTATAATATGAAACGTGAATGGTAAAATATAAATTATAAAATTTATATAAAATTATATTAAATTATAAATATAAACATAAAATGTAAATGAAACATAAAATATAAATAAATGATAAAGTATAAATTATAAATAAATATGTAAATTATGAATAAATGATAAAAAATATAAATTATAAATAAATGAATACACGGCATATGCAGTTTCTTTTTATTCAAACAGATCGATTATTGATCTTGGTCGATATATATCGAAGGATGTGACTGTTTCGACTGTCGGAATGGGGGCCATTAAAAACGGACTCGAAACATGGAAAACGTGTTTATTCATTTAACCTAAACTGTACACTTAATAATAAGCTTTCCTGTTTTCTTTTTTTTTTTTAATTTTTTTAAGGAGAAACCAAAAATGTACAAATGTCGTACACTCTTCGATCCCGTTGTGGTGTGTCCATATAACAAAAATCACTTTATCGCGAGATCTCGTATTCAGAAGCATATTGTCAAATGTGAAAAGGTACGTATTGTTACGAACACACATTGTTCTTCAGAGGACTCGAAACAAAACAAATGGTTTTTGTACAATAATTACATATAAATTAAAATTTCAATTTTAAATTCAAATTGAACAGCAATACCCGGAGAAGCTCATGTGTCCATACAACGCAACTCATCGGTTGCTTAAAACGGAATTCGAGGAGCACATCATCAGCTGTCCGGATCGCAACATGTGCGAGTTAGAAACATATTCAGGTTTCTCTTTATTAGTATTTTATCTTCAACTGTTTTTTTTTCTCTCTCTCTCTCTCTCTCTCAAAGTAAAATCATCATCAAAATGTATCTTTACACAGAGACAAGGAAGCACGGTGCAACAAATTTTGGACTGTCAGAACTTTCAAGTACCATAGATTGCGCAGAGAATTGGGATCTAGAGGCCAACGACGATTTTTTTGCTGAAGAAAACTCTCCTGTGTACGACAACGTTGATTTAAAGTAATTTGAAGTTCTTTTGTTTCTGTTAAAGATCCATCTATTTTCTTTCTTTGAGTATTAATTTTGTTTTGTAATTTTAAGGGCTCATTGCGTTTCTCAACACATACTGAAAGAGAAGAGTAAGAATATGACGTCTGTAAGACCACCACGTGGCTTTTCCGAAGCAATGTTGAGAGAAGCGAGTGAGGACTGTGTTGACGATCTAGAATCGGTGGTTAGTTCGATGGGAATCGGCAGAGGGAAAGTTACTTCGAGCATTAACAAGCTGAGAAAAATTGGAATAGGCAGGGGAAAACCGATGAATATTTTGTAAATATCATCACGTAAATTTTCTAAACGAAAGTGAACAAAGAGAATATTGGAGTTTCCTCATTTGCAAGTACAAATGAAATGATCTAGTATTATCTAAATACTATATTTCTATATATAATTTACAATATGTAACTTATCGCTTACATTTCTTACACTTAAATATTTGTTCCATGAACCTTTTATTTTAGAAATTTACATCGTTTAAGGTATTTACAAATGCAATGTAAAAGATTCGTCCATTATCAAGTATGATTAATTTTTCTATAAAAACAGGGCATTATGTAAGGAAACTAAAATATTTGAATTATCTGCAAATTAACAGATATTTTGCAATTGCAGTGGCAGTTGATACATTGTTACGTTATTCTTAAGTTCGTTATTCCTTATTTTAGTTTTTTTTCTTTCTTTTTTTTTTTTTTTTTTTTATAGAATTTTTAAGTTTTAGATGTAATACATAAAGTACATGAAGCGCAATACGTAAAGTGAGAATGTAACAAATGATTTGTTATCTAAGGCTGTTTTTGATAATGCGTAATACTTTTTATGTTTTGTACCTACAATTATAATAAAATCTGTGATTAAATTGTCTTCAACATTATTTAATGATAAATTTATGTAATATTGATAACTCAATACAAAAATATAAATACAATATATAAATGCAATTTGTTGAAAAGAAGTTTCAATCTATGTGAAAATGTAAAAATTTCAGTTTTATAATGATGAAGATTACTTCCTTCAAACTTTTAAACTCTTCAAGTACTTTCACTGAATGCGATTAATTTTCAAAACCGTAAAGCGGATGTTTATATTTGTAATTTCAAATCTTGAAATAACGAAATATTCAAATTCGTAACGAAGAAAGCATGATTACAAACAGAAATTTTTGAAACCATTTTCTAAATATGTTACAGCAGAAATAAAAAAAGTATTTTATTGGTTGGAATTGTTTCAAATAACGTATTACTATATACACAGATACAGGTCTTTACTCATGAAATTTATTGAAGGAATACGCATGATACATTTACCATGTACATCTTAAAAAAAAAAATCATAATTGCTGCAAATTATCTTTTTTTCCATCGTGCAACACATGTTAAACGTTTAAAAAGGCTTTCGTAACAACTTTTTAAATATTTTATATAAATCACTTACATAAATTTTGCATCAAATAATGTTTCCTCCCCTTTTTGATTTCCATTCATAAATTACCAAATTCCGAACGAAAGAATTCAGATAAGGATGTTAATTGTTCTTGTGTTTATCTCTGCTTAATTCACTATTTTTTATATAATCGACCGTATGCTTTTAATTTTTCATTTGCAGTCTCGTGTTTATTCAGAACGTACAAAGGAACAAATGCTAATGTTTGTAAATAAGATTTTAATTTCTCTGGTTACTGATGTCGTCAGCCAGCAATTATTTACAAGTTCTTTTTAAAAGTATCTTTCCTTCTTTTTTTTTTCTTTTCCTTTTTTAAGAATAATGTGCAGGCGATTACCTAGCTGCAGTCTGTTTAACGTTTTAATGTATTAAAACTGTAAATTTATTGAGTGCAATATTTGCACGTTTAGCGAGATCATTGCACTGTATTCAATTACCACAGAGTGATACATCTATGGGCTGGTACAATGTATCGTGTAGCAACGTTGACCACACGGTTGTCGTGATGTTTCCTTAAAATGATTATTGCATAGGATCACAATTTATATTTTTGTTGATTTTTTCTTTTGCTGTTTCCACATTGATATTCTTTTCTCCAAGTCGGGCACTAGAGAGGAACATGGAACAATTAAATCACCAAATCATCTTTTTACTATTAAAGAAAAAAAAAAAAGAAAATTCCATTTACTTACTTGGCGTAAGCATATCTTCGCTGAGAGGTTGTCGACTGAAAGGATCCGTAGCGCTGTTAAGAAGATGTCTAATAATAATTGCTTTGTCCATAACGATACCAGACGGAAGCTTAACAGGCTCTTCCATGAGCGTGTCCATGAGCGGGTCACGAAATTCTTCCGGCGCGTCGCCATAATCCGCGTCGCGTGCACGGTTGTCCCTCGCTATGTCCGCGGCACGTTCCGCGAGCGCTACGAATCTCTCAATCTCTATGATGGACTTGATCACCGATCTCTCTAGTTTGTTTGCGGCGTCGATAAATAGTTCCATGCAGAACGAACGCTGGAACGATAGCGTCCGTTAGAACGATAGTGTCCCTCCCCCCAAATTCGTTACACATCAACTTACTTCGTCGGCAGCCAAAGCAGCAGCAAATACCTCGCAGTCGAGATGCAAATATATGTCGACCAATTGACTAAGTAAAGCTCTCGGTTCCCATCCGTACTTCTGCGGTATCCTCACCTTCAAGTTTTTACACTTAGGCCCGCACAACTGTTGCAGATTGAAGTTCAACATGGCACACAATCGTCCGACCAACTCTGGCCGTAGAAACGGCTCCGTGATGTCGTCCGTTAGATATTGGAACATAGCGACAGTCTCCTTGGCCAGAGTGAGATAGGATCTGGCCTGTCTCTCGTCCGCGGCCAGCTGTTTCATCCGCGAGTGTTGCTGCTCGCGGGACAGCGCGGACCACGCTTTCAGATCGGACATCAACTCCTGAATCTCGTGGATACGCTTCAACGACTCCAGGCTCTCGTCAAGCAAGAACGTGGTATCGTTCATCAGCATGTTGATGAACTTCACGAACTGATTCCCGTTGTTGCTCTCGTCGACGATCGACTTTCGATGCACCGGGCTGTCCCACATGGACTTCAGGATCAGACTAATGTGATAACGAATCGAGAATTTGTCGTAGAACTCCGAGCTGGAGCCGGTTGTCTCGACGTCCGTGTAAAATTTCATCAGATATGACGCCAGCAACGTTTTCGATATCGGATGCGCCATTACTTGATCGTGGAGCGATTCGGTTCGTCCCTGAAACGGGGAAAATTCGTCAGACCAAAAAAAAAATATATATATATATGTATTTTTCTACACTCTAATATATATATTATTGCTATTTTCTATTTTCTAATATATATATACATATGTACTTTTCTATACTCACCTGAACGTTTGGATTTATCACAAACAGTACTTCAATAATTTTTGCTATTAAATACGGATTTCGTATACAATGTGGTGTACACACTACTACAAGTAACCATGTAACGAGCGAATTGTCCATATTGTTTACTATCACACTAGGGCAAAATCTACAAAGAAAAGACAAAAGACAAATATGTAATAAATACAATAGGCAAGTTTATACGATGTGCGAGAGGCATGATACTTACTGAAGAGTGAACAGTACAAATTCCGCGATGTCTTCGACATACCATTCTGGCAATGCTGTGAACTTTTGTGGAACCTCTTGGGGTAAAGGCAGTTCGGGGATTGGGTTCCCTGGCGAGGTTTGCGTCAACAAACTGAGCAGAATCTCAGCCACAGAAATGTAAAAATGCAGGCATCTTCTCAGCAGAAGAGGGTCGATTAGTCCAGCGTCGGTGTACACTTTAGATTTGCCGAGGTGTTTCAACTGTTCCTTACAACGTTCAATCAGCTCTTTGTTACGGCTGGCGAAAGGACTGTCTTTCCATTGCGACTCGCTAGCTTGCAGATCGTCGAGCATTTTTTGCACGTCGCGCAATGTCCTCAGCTTTCTCTGGTATTTCTGTAAAGCCGGTAACAACGCTATATGGTGACAGTGTAGGGTAAGGAACCAACATTGTGTCGGAAACTTTGGCTCGACCCACTTGTGCGTCCTCTCTAAATGTTTCAGCCAATCGGCGACTTCTTGGCACGTGAGTTTCAGCCTCGTGTCGTTCTTTATGTCGATGAAGCTCGCCGGGTGAAACGGATACAGCAGGTCTACAGTGTCCAGCTTGATCTTCACGGAGAGCTTTTGCAACACCGACAACAGATTCAGCATGAAACCGTCCCCGGCGAGTGAGAACTCCTCCGTTTGTATCTGAGCGCGTTTCTCGTTGTAACGCAACAACGTAGCCAGGTACGTGAGCATCGCTTCGCGGCAGTTGCTGCTAGCGAGTATCGCGTGAAATATCTTGTGCAGCGACGTTCTGATGCTCTCCAACTCTTGCTGCAACGTCAGCGTGATCGACTTGTCGACGAACAGGTTGCCACTGAGGAACGTTTCAGCCATGTCTAGCTGATCCTCGGCGAATACCGAAACCGAGAGGAACGGCCCAAGGAGAGACGTCGTTGTGATCTCTTTACCAGCCGCCGACGTCATAATGTCGGGCAAAAATTGAACTTGATGAACGATCAAACGACAGATCGGCCGTATGTTGCTGCTCGGCCCGCAGCAGATCTCTATCAGCTCCTCCAGCGCCTCAATCGGTCTTCGATGCGTGTTTCTGATCAGGCTGGCCTGTTGCATCGACAGGTACAGACCTTGCAACAGCGGCGTGAAGATCTTGTTGCACACCGCAGCGTTCGTGTGCGTCCTTGACACTAGTTCGTGCAAGTAACCGCGTGGTAAACTCTGCGACAGCACTGGATACAGAAGCGGCGTCATGGACAACGGGTACGTGGTCGAGGACTGTGATATACCAACTAGGCCTTGCAGCACAAGACTTGAATACTGAACACACTGCGCCCTTAGTACAGCTAGCACGTCGGACAGTGGCGGCGTGCTTGATTTCTGTTCGCGAAGAGAAAAGAAATTAGCCATTTGGTAAGAAACCATGACTCGTCGGTTACTTACCTTTGGATGATTTCGTTCTTCGGTCGCGACCCTCGAGTAACAGTCCAGCAAATAAATCAGACTCTTCGGCTGCGATGATTTGCAGCAAATGTCGCAGCGGCAGAAGGTTGTGACAGGACTCTGTAAAGGACTCGTCTGACTGTTCGGACTATCCTCCCTGTCAGAGGAGCTGTCCGCGTTGATTTCCTTCAACGGGTCCTCGTCCCTCATGAACATGCACAAAACCTCCATCAACGCTTGGTTTATTATCTCCGTGGTGTCCGTCAGCTTTGTCGATAACATGTACGCTGCCATCTGCGGCAAGAATATACAACCCTCCACTTGCTCTTTCCACGATACGCACAGTACGCGCGATATGACCCCGTGTATCTGCTCTGTGGTTATCTCCGTGCTGGAGCTTGTTGTCTGAAACGTGAACCAAGATATTTTACCATTATTTCACTAGTGAGGGAACACGCGTGTATACACGTACGTATATGTATGTACATACATACACTTACACGTGATCTCGGCTTCGATTCTTTTCTGTCGCACTCCTCCACCTCCATGTTCTCGAATCCGGAGTCCACGTCGGCTCTGTCGGTGCTGCTGCATTGCTTGTTATTGCTCTCTTCGATTTCCATCGGCACCACGGGACTTTGAAACTGCTGCTGCTTCAGTGGCGATATGATCTGCTCTGTGAACGTTTTCGACGGGCCCGGCGTGTTCGGTGAAACTGGATCATTGTTGTGATTCGTGTTGATGGTCGAGCTGAAGCTGTCCAAACCAGCCAAACGGGCCATGCGTCTTCTTCTTACCTACAATGTTTAAATTCACCAACCAGTTAATTGCTCCATCTTTCGACGTTACTTTTACAGGAAACAAAAATTCTTCTCGACAAAAAACTTTACTTTGTTCCAACATGTTCTCGCGTTACGAATACCGACGTACAGACGTACAACGTTCAGACAATGGCTATATTTGTATCAAGAACAAAGAGCGCAAATAGAAGGGGGATCACGCTCTTGCGAGTGACCGCCGATTGTTTTGAATTCGTGACGACGAAACCGAGACGCGCAAACCTACGGGATCTTCCGATCAACCGGGGGATGTGAACGACTTCTGTTTACATCGCAGAGGAGGGTAAATAAACGTGGGATGATATGAAGGGCCCGACGTGGAGGACCGCTGTCACAAATGGGAGATCAATCTTCAATTTGTCGCGTTATGTAAGTGTCTCGGCGCGATGCCACACAGCGGAGTTAACCAGCGTTTTGCAACTGCTCTGTTCTCGTAGCACGACGAGGCCTCTCTTCGCCCTTGTTAGACCCCCTCGTAAGAGAGCTGCACGCTCTCCCCGAGGGGGAAGAAACGGGGCCCTGTCACGTTCCCTCGTTCGCCGTGTCTCGGGGAGAGAGAGAAGGAGAGAAAGAGAGAGAGAGAGGCGAGAGCGCAAAGCGAAAGGAATATGTAACAACATAATGCGGACTTACGGACGCTATATCGAATACAACGATTGGAAACGGTGTGCATTGGGTACTCACTTCCTCTTGGCTTAGCTCGCTCATGGCGATCTCTTTATTATTTTTTTCTTTTTTTTTCTTTTTTTTTTTTTTT